AAAATCATGAATTATTGTTTTAAAAACACCATAAAAGTGTTTAAAGTTTAATAGCAGTTTTCATTTCTTTTGAGAATTTCTGTGAAATAAGAGTTCAGCTATCCTCTGAAAAGTTGTGGATGCTTATAAGTAATTATAGATAACCCCTGATGTAATATCAAGATTATGATTGGCACCTCCATTCTCTGAGACACAAAAATCAAGGATATTCTTATTTACATTGCAGTGGAGGGACACAGCACTTCCCTCCATGGTTCTGTAGACTCAAAAACACAGCCCATTCAATGTGACTGTGAAGGAATGCATTATACTAGCTTTGTGGGACCTGAGGTTGAGATGAAGATAGTTTCTTGTTTATTAATTAGTAGGTCTGACTCAGGTCTAGGCCCTGACTTTTACCTAGTAATACCTTTAAGATTGTCTGGTGATGCCTGAAAAAAAAATCTATTACCTGCTCTGACTCATCCAAATTAGGAGTAAATCTCAGAAGTCTCAGGTTTCTTAAGGAAGTTGAGTTCAGAGATCACGTATGAGATCGGGTTACAGTGACTTTTCTCTATTACAAGCATTAATAGTTGTCCACAACAAATCAAATATTGCTGGAGTCATATATTATGATAGAATTTTATTTTCTTAGTGATTGGGCATTTAGGAAGTCAAGGTATTTTATAGCCTTTTTTTCTACTAAAGGTTTGAAAAAAGATAAATGTACAGTATTAGAAAATATACTAAACAGATTATAATTTCATGGTCTTGCAGAAACCAAGACAAAGAAAGAATGTAATTAAGGTTAAGTGATTGTAAAGCATATTGACACAACCAATGTCGATATGTTCTCCAAATAGTGGACTGCAGAATCACAGAAAGCTTTCTAAAAATTGTCCTCTGCTACAATAAGATGTTATGGGCTGGAAAGACAAATACATAAAGGTTTTAACAGTGGTGAACATCTATTCCATGTGTGAAGCTCTTTACTACATTATTTCATTTAATCTTCATAATGACTTCATAATGACATAAGGTCTTCTTATTATCTTCATTATACAGATTAGGAAACTTTAAGCTTACTTAGGTTGTGTGATTTGTCCAAGATTACACAGGCCAGAAATGGTAGAGGTGGTTTTATGATAGCACAGGGGTTTTAGAGAAGGCCTGGGGTGTTGGCAGACCATTACTTTTTTCCTTAAGATCGTGGTCCCCTTTTAAAATTACTTATACTAGATGGCAGGTTGGTCTTGAGTTTTATTTTTCTTTAGTGATTTCCCTCCTTAAATAGGTTATCACAGAATCTTAGAATGTTGACCTTGAAAGAGATTGGTTGGACTGCAGCCTGTCCTCTGAAAAACAGAACAAAGGGAGATCTTAGTTGTTTAGAGACAGTGAGAAGTTATTTTTGCTAATCTGGGATATCTTTAGGAAGGACCTCCACTAAAAGCAAAACTATGCTTTAATAGACTGTCCTAGTAAATATTCTGGCAGTCAGGAAGTTTATGTAAAAGCTAAGACCTCACTGATACAACTTCTTTTACAGCTTAAGGGGAAGTAAGAGAATGACTAATTACTACCTCATTAATAAATTCCATTATTCACTCAGGCCACCCTGGGAGGGCCATTCAGTGGTTGTTTATTGAGCACATAGTATGTGCCAGGCATACTGAATTGTGCTGAGTCTGATCTTGGAAATTTTCAAGCCCAGTCACCTAGATGATTTATTTAGAGTCAGATTTTTTATTTTTTTTGAATAATAATGAGTATTTGTGACTCATTGTATAGTATTTAACCCTTACAACAACTCTGTGAGATAGTATTATCACACCCATTTTGCAGATGAGGAAATTAAAGCTCAGCAACATTAAGAAACATGTCCCGTGTCACATAGCCTGGCCTTGACCATGTGAACTCCTAAAGAGAATAATAGTTTTATTATTTATATATATATATATTTATTTACCTATTAGTTTTATATATAAATAGATAGTACTTTATAGTTATCAAAATGCTTTATTTGTTATTACCTAATTTGGCAAATGAAAATAATAGTAGTCACTATTATACTAATTTTACAGATAGTAACAACTGCTACTGTTTATTATATACTTAATATGTGCCAGATAAGTTATCAGATAAGGCCTAGTTCATGCTCACAACAACCCTATTTAAGTATCATTATTCCCATTTTACAGATGAGCCATTGAGACACTGAAAGTTTAAGTGACTTGATCTGCTCAGTAAGGAGCTGGGATTCAGCTGTGTCTGCCGAGGCAGGACGTATGACCACTTGGTTATATTTGCTTTGCCATGTTATGCTGCCTCAGTTTGCATATGTGGGAACTAAGGTCCAGAGTTAGCTGACATAGCTGAGGTCATACAGCCTTTACACAGAGCTGGGACTCCAACTCAGATCCTCTTGCTACAAAGCCCCCTTTGCTTGCGTCTTTATTGGGCTGTCTCTCTGCACAAGGAGAACTGAAAGGCTGTACCTCATATCCAAGGAAAGTTCCCTAATTTATTTGTGATATGGTTAAACTTAAACATTAATACATTTAGTTATTCTTTCCATTTCTTTGTATTTTTTCCCCATTTTTAAGCAGGGAGCCTTATTTTACTGGTAACAACATGTTACAGTAGAGGAATGGATGTACAGGTTAAACTACTTGCTCAGGCAGTTGTCTGGTGAAGTTGGAATAGAACTAAAATCCAAATTTGAGTCTTGTGTGTCCAATTCACTAACTATGGGGTTTTTGTCCTTTTTGTTCACTGAAAATATTGCTTGAGAGAGGGCCTTTGTGAGATTGTCTTCTGGTGCTGTAAGGAATGCTCTTTTTCCATCTGAAGGTTATTTACTATTTTTCTGACTAGTGAATACATTAATGGTTAAAACAAGGAAGTATGTCAGTATCAGGCATATAAAAAGAATCACTCACTCAGGTTTGAAATGTTGCCAATCTATACAATCTCAGCCTTGAAAATTTTAAAGCACAAAAGTTCATTACTTTGATGATCAAGAATCCTTTCGATTTCTGAAGTTTATGTTAACCATTTACAGTATTACAGTTTTACTCAAATTGCAATCTCAGGTAAATGTTCCTTAAAATTGAATTGGATGAAATTTTTCTGTTTATCTGTGTGATAGAGTAAACATCAGATAAATATCCAGATGTATTTAATTATTTTGACTCAAGAAAAGTATGTCCTATTTAGACAGTCTTTAAATAAATTGTTGCTGAATTGTACAAATAAATAAGAAATAGCTGAAGCTAAACAGCTTTGACTATATAGAACAACTGAAAGGCTTTAAAAGAGGAAACCTCTCAAAAAATCACTTGTTTTGCAAATCTCATTTTGTATTTTTAGAGATAACCTGAATTGATCATTCAAATACATTAATAGTTTTTGAAAATAAAGCCTTTCATTTTCAGGGGTTGAATACGTGATGTGGGAATAATTTTAAACCTATTCCAATGTATTAAACTCCAATTCAGATGTGTTTTAACTGTGTGTACCTATCCCTGTGTCACCAAGAGTTTCTTTTTTTTAAGACAAGAACTAATGCTTATTGGGTGTCTCCTATGCTAGTCTGTTCTCCATAGTTTCCTCAAGTAATTTTCACATCCCTGTGATTCAGATATTCAGATACAGTTACTCTCCCACCTCCTTTTGAAGATGAGAAAACTGAGGCTCAGAGGCACTGATTAATTAACCGAGGATCACACAGCTAAAATGTAGAAGTCTCCGAACTTGAACCTAATTCTATACATTCCAAAGTCCATGGGTATTTTAATATGAAGGCTGTCTTGTGAGCAGCCTGGTGTATTCAGATTTTTTTAATTAGCAAAATATTTTAAAATTGGTAAAAATATTTGTTAAGAGAAATTTTCTTAGGAACCTGTTTGATTAGCCCTTAAGTGAAAACAAAATAGTTTGAAGTACGCACTTCTTTGCTCTGGAAAAGTACAGCACATTTATCTTTTTTTCTTATGTAGATTGAAGCTCTTTTGATAAATTTGCATGGTTTTGAGTTTGTACCTCCAAGAAACTCCATTGAGACACATCAAAAGATATTTTTAATGCTCAGCAGTTAATTCTGACAAGTTGGCTGCTCATTATTTTTATTATTACAGTGACTAGGTAACACTAGGCCACATTCCCATACAAGTGACATCTTTTAACACATTCCATTAGGGTTAAAGATATTTCCCTGTTCTCCTGTTTTGGGTCATTTTCTTAGTGTCAGAAACTCACATACTTAACATTGAAATTGGATGGTGATGAAGTTTTTCAGTTCTGACAGTAGTTGACTTTGAACCTAAGTTTTGTCCTTTGCTTAGAGGTTATTTGCCTGGGTAGCTTAGGATGAGAATAGTATGATGGCTCTTCTCGTTTGTATTCCTCTTACATGTTGCACTCCCTCTTCTCATTTCTACTCTCTACTTCCTAATTCCCATGCTATAAAGTGCCATCCCATTGACCTTCCTGAAAAGAAAATGAACGGTGCTAAAACCATGGAATCATGCAATTCAAAAACCAAAAATCATATCTAAAAGATAGTAGCTGGATATGCAACACTAAAAAGCACAGGATACCTGTTATTTAACCAAGTTAATTGTTCAAAACATTTTCTAACTTAAAAAAAAATCCAGAAGTAATGCATGTTCTTTGGAATATTATGAAATACAGAAAATAAACAAAATAGAATTCAACCTTGTAAAGATAACTGAAGCAGATTGTTTCCTAAATGACTGTTAGACTTTCCAAATAGAAATATTTATGTGAGGGAGAAACAAATAGTCCTTATGCATGATCCATTTTGTTACTTCCATTGAAACTTGGAGTCTAGAAAGCTTTGTGCTCTACAGGTCTTGAAAGGGTAGGGTTGTAGACAATAAGCAGTCCTTATATATGCTCTTTTTTTTTTTCTGCTTTATCCTTTCTAAGTGTCGGGTTGCATGTTCTAAGGCCACAGCAGCTGGCATACTAAAGATTTTTCTTCTTTGTTCCAGACCCCAGGCAGGCACAGTCTTCCCCGCCATGGTCCTATGACCAGTCTTACCCCTCCTACCTGAGCCAGATGACATCCCCGTCCATTCACTCTACCACCCCGCTGTCTTCCACTCGGGGCACTGGGCTTCCTGCCATCACCGACGTGCCCAGGCGCATTTCAGGTAAAGACCACACTTTAACTGGGAACCCACTCTTGTACAGGTGTGGGGTTGGGGTTGTAGGCTGGGCCGAGGCAGTCTTATCCATGTTCACAGTAACTTCTTTTAGTGACATGTGGGCACGGGTCTGGCAAACCAGGTCTTCTAGATTATGGGGTAATCAAACACTTGAACATTTTAAGTCAAGAGACTGAAAATCCTGGCATAATGTTCTTAAGATGATATTAATGCCACCCAGTTTTAGTCCTGCTCATTTACATCCCCTTTGGTGGCCACTGTCTCATAACTAGGGCCTTCTCCTGAGGGTCTTTTGCCAGGCCTTCCTCTGCTTGTGTTCCTTTCTTTTCCTAACACCTGCCTGTATTCCAAATTACGGATTGGTGGCACAGTACTCCATCTCTAAAGGCTCTTAAGTCCCAGGAGTCCCAGCTAGCTAGTTCCCAGAGAGAATGGTTGCAGACCTCAGATCCTTATCAGGAACTAGTCATTGGAAGTGCAGTGAGGCCTGGAAGGGCCTGAAAAGGCAATATGAGGCCTCAGAGGGGCCAACCCAAGACCCAGGCGGCCTCTCCATGAATCCTGTAGTGCACTCCTGTCCCTGTCCATGTGGCAAGCCCCAGTGCTCACACATCTACTATTCCAAAAGCACCACTTTAAAAATCTGTGGTTCATGGTAGAGGCATGTGTGGTAAATGATCTGGCTGCCTTTCTCTATCATGGAGAATTCATCAGAGAGAGCCAGAAAGTGTCCACAAAGAACTCAGAGTGACAAGTAGAGAAAAGGTGAAGGCTGTTGGACAATTATATGGATCCTGGGAATAAGAAATAGTCTCTCAGTACATCCCTGAAATACAGACTGTAGCACTGCCCCCTCTAAATAAGGAGGCTGACACGCAGAGGCATACACAGTTGGATCCTACATTTGTCAGGCTCTCTTCTCAGCGTTCGGGCTCCATGCACCTGTTTGACTCCTGGCCAGGTTAATACCTTTCTTTCTTTCTCTTTGTGTTTCTGTCTCTGTTTCTCTCCCTCTATCATTTTCTGCAAAGCTCGAAGCCGTTACTCACTCCGCTGAGTTGCATCACTGACAAGCTGAAGCTCCACCAGCAGGCTTGCAGGTTTTGATTAGTGCAGACTCCTTTATTTCTTTCAACTTGGGAGGAGGGAAGGCTTTGTTTCTCAAGCAAATAGCAGGAAAGGGCTCTCTGGTCCTAGTGCCTTCAGATTTTCTGCAGCAGATGGACTCCTATAGGGGTGAGTAGGGAAAGAAGAGGGGTGGAGGGAGAACCACAAGATTCATTTGGAAAACCACTTATCATTATGACCACTATTATTATTTACATGAATCACATGGCATTTATTGGGGAATTGTGCAGAGTATAGAATTTTAGTTATCATTTCCCTTGACCAGAATTACTACTTCTTTTAGGTAAACATTAATCAAAGACATGGGAAAGGTTGAGTAAGGCACGGGATAGTGAGGGCTGATGGGGGATCATAGGCACAGGTTCGATGGTGTTGAGTTAGTTCTGGTCATTCCTTCTCTGTTTTATACTGAGTCTGTTTTGTTTTACATAGGGCCAAAATGACAGTTTTCCAGGACAATTTTCCATATTTGTATAAACTTGCTTCTGTTTAGGGTCCTCTGTGGCTTGCACCTGTGCAACCCTCTGTGGCTGAAGATTTTGCTATTTGTCCACTGGCAGGACCTAGAGCAAGCCTGAGGGAGTAATTGTGGCTGTAGAGACACTTATCTACACTACAGAATTATCTTACTGAGGTGTTATTTGCATAATATTTGCTGGGAAAATGCTTGAAAATAACACTGAAAAAGTGCTGCCTAAATGGGCAGTCATTATTTTTTATCATTTACATGTGTAATTTAGAACAGCTAGGTGATTTTGAGTAGATTTACTGATAATTACTTAAAAAATTTCCATAAACCAGTAAAACATAACTTTTCACATTTCACAGAGAGGGTAACAAGAGCATAAACTGGGTAATTATCCAGCCATATATCAATCTGAGGCCAGAAGAAGGAATGAGCCTCTGCTTTAAACCAGTTTAAAACTGAGTTTAGTCCAGTTTTTTCCTCCTGCCCCAAACATTTCTATGAGTTGTTACTGGCACAGTAACATGGTGCCAGGGTGGGAGGTTCTGTATAAACATCAAAGCAAAGAGAACAGAAAATCCCTGTTGTCATGATGTAGGGAAACAGGAAGAAAGAACTGTCTGTGGACTGTCAGGGAACTGGAGAAACCCTGATTTACCTGACCCTGCTTGTGGGTGTAGGGCTGTGCCTGTGGACTTGCGGCCCAGGTCATCTGGAGTGAGCACCATTTTCACTTCCATGGGGACAGGTCCTAGGAACCTCCTTGAAGTAGAGCCTGTTTCATAGGTTCTGAAGTGCCAAGTTGCACAGTTTCTGTCTTCTTCTTATTCCTCTCAACATCTAAAGCTGTCCCTAAGAGCCAGGGCGCTAGTTCTATGGAACATGGACAGCTAAAATATTAACCTCCACCTGTCCAATGGTCCAATGGTCCAGGTGTCCAATGGTCACTTCTTGAGATGCTTTCCAGAATAGTATGTGTTTTTGTGTAGAGAAATTAGTTCTTATCTCCTTATATGAAGGGATACACAAAGTATTCTCATGTGATTGTGGGTGAGAAAGAATAAAATTCCTCGCTTACACAATGGATTGAGTTTCAGACCCAGATTTGAATCCCAGCTCAGACACAGATCAGGCAAGTTTCTTACTTCTCTGAGACTTAGTTTTATTATTTGTGAAATAAGGATATAATTTTATTTCTTAGGGTCACTGTGAGGATTAAATGAGATGTTTTATGTAAGTGCTTAGGACAGGCCAGACACACGATATGTGCTAAATAGATTGGAGCTTATATTATGAAGTTAGGATTATTTTGTAAAAATTGTATATCTGTATATAATTTGCAGTCAAGCCCTGGGCTTAAATGAATTAAGTAGATAAAAATCTAAACTTTTAAAGGGGATTATTTGCTTTACAAAATGGATCACCACAGAGCTTATTTGATATAAAGACCCCTTGGAATAATTAAATATTTAAATGAGTTAATACTCATGCATTCATAAAATACTTAACACAGTACCTAGCACATAGAAGTACTCAATGAATGTTTGCCATTATTGTTATTATTTATAGATTTATCATGAATATTTATAGAGCTGAAAGCAACTGGGAGCCATTTACAAAAAGTTAATACAGCATTAAGAGAAAATAACTACTCAATCATAATGTCAGAAAATAGAAAATCTTAAGTTATACTTCCATGTAACTAGACATGATAATTTTCAGGGGATCATAGGAATAAAAGCAACCAGAAAGATCTTATAAAAAGAACAATTCCTAAAGAAATAGCCTTTCATCCTAAAAAACCATTCCAAAGAAAAATCATGATATAATCTATTTAAAGGCCTTCAGTGAATCCAGTTTTATAGTTTCCTTTTTTTGGTATCCTTTTTTCTGAGTAATTTGATCAAACATGGCTACAAATGCTAGGACTTCATGAACTATAATAATGACAATGATATTACATTGTCTAGTTCCTGTAGTCTACCTCAAATCCTTCATGGAAGCAAGGTGCAAATAAAATAAGATGATAAAGGTATGTTACCTGCAACCCGTACTTTACTGTAAACGAAGATACAAACCAGGTGTCTTGAAGTTCATAGGTGCAATACAAAGATTCAGGAAGTATTTCCTTAACTTTGAGTCGTCTTATATATTATAATAAGAACCATAGCAGCAGTTACAGGTTTATGACTGAACACTAAGTTACAATCATGTAATTGACTACTAGGATCTATCTTATTGTAATGAGTTTATTAGTTCATATTCAGCTCAGTTATAAAAATCAAGTACTACTTGTCAGAAACCAGTCTAAAGGTGGTATAGTGCAGAAGAAGGCTTGTAGGGGTTGGTTCCCCTCCCCCACCATATTACTGTGATAACTGTGGCCTTATCACATAATAATCTGTATTTAAGTCACACTCCACCCCAAGTGATTTTATATATTATCTAATTTCATCTTAAATGCTCCTAAAATAATATTCACTCTACAGAGATAGCCAGAATAATTTCTTACTGATTCTGTTAAAGGTCAGGTGTGGCCAGGCAAGGACTTCAACAACCTGAGCCACCGCATGTCTCCATCATGGTGGTAGGGGCATCACCCACGGCATTTGGATGTTCAAAGCCCTTGTGAGGCTCAACACAAAGAGTATAATTACTTTTCTGGAGATTATTACAAAATACTATGTAAATAAGTAATTACAGACTTGCAAAATAGATTTGGTGTAATTATCCTACTACGGAAAGAAGCACAGCCTGTTTATTGAGTCTGATTCTTTGACTCAAGGGTCAGACCATGAGCTATTCTTAGCCTTCTAAAGGAGACCCTGCAAATAACTCACGGTAACTAACTCCTCCCTGTACCATCCATCTAAGTGAAGCAGCTTAGATTAACCTAAGTCTCTACCACTTTCAGGCATATATGAGGTGGAAGGGATTTACACAGGCATTTTTCTGTGGTCTTGTCATTGTGCCATGGACCTCTGATGATGTCTGTAGTTCTCTTAGAGACTTAGGATATGTGAGTTAGAGATGCAGGGGGAGGGCCATACATGGTGTCTGCCTCACGTACTCTGGGAGAGGCCAATACAGGTTGTAGTGGGTGATTTTGCTCTGCATTAGTAGGATTTTTTTTGTACATGAGCCAGAGTTAAGAACTGTAATCTTTTTGAAGATTTTTTTTTCCATTTAAGCAAATAGTCTTGAACTTCTTTCAAAATATTTAAGTATCAAAAAATTCCATTTAATCAGCTGCACAGAACTATTAAAGATGTCTCCATTTTAATGTCTTTCAGTCATTAAACTATATTTCCGAAGGTCAGCAGAATAGGCATTAGTCAAATAAAGTTACTAAACATTATTTTGTTACTAACACAAAACCTAGAAATTGCCA